GGTGGTGATTTTACTATCAAACATATTCTAACCTAAGTCTTGGTGGTGATTTTACTATCAAACATATTCTAACCTAAGTCTTGGTGGTGATTTTACTATCAAACATATTCTAACCTAAGTCTTGGTGGTGACTTTACTATCAAACATATTCTAACCTAAGTCTTGGTGGTGACTTTACTATCAAACATATTCTAACCTAAGTCTAGGTGGTGACTTTACTATCAAACATATTCTAACCTAAGTCTAGGTAGTGACTTTACTATCAAACATATTCTAACCTAAGTCTAGGTAGAGACTTTACTATCAAACATATTCTAACCTAAGTCTAGGTAGAGACTTTACTATCAAACATATTCTAACCTAAGTCTGGTTAATAATCTTTTACTATCAAACATATTCTAAACTGAGCTTGGGTGGTAATCTTTTCTCTCATAATTGTTCTAAGTTGAGCCTGAATGGTAATCTTGTGTTATTATTCATGTTTTAACCTGAGCCTGCATGGTATTCCTGTATTATTCTTGTTCTAAGTTGAACCTGGATGATAATCTTATATTCATGTAATGTTCTACAAAACTGAAGTATTTTGAACAGCCTAGCTGAATGCAAGCAAACTATGAGAATGTTTCTGTAACAATAAATTTAATTTAAAGTTTCTTGTAACTCATTTTTGCTTGCATAGATTTTGTATTTGCATCTGGGTCAAAAAAAAAAAAAAAAGCAAAAAAAGCTTCAATTTGTTTATATTTCTAAGTTCTCTAAGTTAAATATATACAATTTATTTATTAATACATACCTGGCCCCCATAACTTGCTTATTTTCAGCCTTTTCTTTTACTACTGGTGGGATAACATTGGTCACCTTGGCAGGTTTCCTGAGAATAAATGTATCAGGTTTCAATAAACTTTGCCATTGTTGTATTCCCATTAAACAAATAAATTTATAGTTTTCATGTGCAACTACTGTCAAATATGTGATGCAAGTCTTAAATCTGCAAGTTTATTTCACAACCTTGTCAAGCTGGCATATATGTTTTACACTTCACAACATCGCTCAGTTGATGAAAGTGTAAGTTTTTATCATGTTTATAATTCACAACCTTGCTGAACTGTCATACAGTGTAAGTTTCAAGACTACGTTTATATTTTACAACCATACTTGGCAGCACTTGCTACCAACTTTTTTATTCTTTTCCAACTGCTGACTAGGGGGAAGGCAACTAACTAGAATTACCCACCACCATCCCTTTCTTGTTGTTGTATGTATCAGGGTTTCAGGAACACTGTACTAATTGATCAATGGGCCAGATTACAAATACCACTAATCACATTCCCTTTCTTTATTTCTAGACATTGTACTGCCCAAGGAATATCACTTGCCAACAGCTAATTTGATTCCACACATATTGAAGGTAGCTATTTCCATTCTTTACATAGGGAAATATCTGGTCAGCTGCCAAGTCCATTCCATACATAATGAAGAATCAGGCACAGCTAAATATTATTCAGCCAACCAAACACACCAACAGATTGTTAGATATATAGAAAATTTTAAGTTTGCAAATATTTGGAACATGATGTATCTTTTACCAACTGTGTGGATGCAATTATTACTAACTTTGATGCCCCTTTTAACAGGTCTAAAACAGGATGATGATGAGACAAATTCAATGGTGGAACCTAGTGCCTCCTGAAGCAAATCCCCCAGTATAAGTTTACAGCCATAACATATTTCATGTCTGATGTTCCTGCACCACTGAACATTGTGTGCTTATCTCTACAGCAAGATAATTTGTCTATGCACATTTACAATAAAAGATCTCCAGAATAATAATAGACACATCACTAGAAAATATTGATTGTTGTTGTGAATTTAAGTTTTAGAATGAAAGGAAACAAATGATAAACATAACATTCTTAACAATACACTGAACATTCTCTATGATAAGATTCTGTGATGTTCATACACTGTAACCATGTAGTTTCTCAAACATCTAACAAATTAAGGAAAATGCATAATCATAACTATCTGGACATTATAAAGATTTTGCATGTTGGATAGGTAACATGACGAAAAAAAAAAAAAAAAAAGGCATGAGAAAAACATTGATTTACAAACCTTAAGACTGAATGAAAAAATTTGATATTTTGAATACTGATAATCTGTCAGATTTCGATAAAATATGCTTACTAATTTAAAATTTATACCATGAAAACTATAACAAGCACAAAATGGTTACGAGGTCAGTCCCAGGGATGGAGCCCATGCTGAAAGAGTTAATGGAGTTCAGTCAAACTGGACCCTTGTTACTAGTGGAATGCCTCATATCAAATATTACTTCTCAAAAATTAAAAGTATTTCACCAGTGAGCTTAACACTGATTTAGAAACACTAAAGTGGCTCCCTAGTTTCTAAAGGTGTTTAATACGACAATGATCCTTAACCTCGTACCCACTAGTTACAAATTAAACCTGTTGGTTTGCCTGAAATGTTAAAACATTAGGACTTTCCAGTACAAAAAAAATGAAAATAGTTACTAACCTAGTATTGTTGATAAATGCTTCAACTTCTTCTCCAATGAATAAACGGTCACGTGCAAAAGTAAAAACATCATCACAGAGATCTGCCAGTCTACCTCTTTTGGTAAGGGAAGCCAAATAGAGAACAGGCCGTTTTAAGCATGTAGGAAAGACACAAAGTGTTTTTTTTGCTTGTGCTTCAGAGTCTAATGCTTCTTGATAAGTAAGCCCAGGACGTCCAGTCAAAGAGCAGGTCCAGACCAAGCTATTGCATAATATTACTCGCTCGAAGAAAGCCCTGTGAAATAAAAACATTCTTTATGGTGTTTCAAGAAATTCCTATAAAGAGGATATAAAAATTTATGTTACCAAAACACTGAAGAAACAAATTTGAATAACTTGGAATGTGACATTTTCTTTTACAAGGCAGTCAATTCTCCCTACCAGTATTACATTTTCCAAATTGTTAATGTTCATTAGAAGTAGAATATGAATTATTAACTAATACTTAAAGGGATTAAAACTTTAAGTGTTCTACACTGCACAAGTAAAACACATTTTCTTAGTGAACACAATCACTTTGTTTTAAATTCATTGTTTATTATGCTTTTACATGAGCACAAAATATGTATTATATGAAAAATTTTTCTTTTAATACTTGGTACAAAACTATTAAATAATGTTATAAACACATGATATATATATATATATATATATATATATATATAT